AAACTGGGCGGAGCGTGGGAACCAGGATGGTTCCTTTGTCGGTAGTGTGCCTTGCCACACGTTGTGTTCAGCTTGAGGATACTGATAGACTCTCGTGGGATCCAATTTCAGGGTCGGGCTTCACTATTTTTGAATACCGGGAGTATTCGATTGGGATGGCAAAATTTTTTTGTCGTATAACTTGTTCCTTACATCCTTAGTCCGCTCTTCGTGCTGCCGTATTCTACCGCAGGAACCGGTCAAGACACTAGTTTCGTGTTTGTTAATCTAAGCTTAGCGGTGGTATCGAGCAACCGGGGCATGGTTTCGCATGCCATTCCGAGACCCCGGCTGGGTTTAACACGAATGAAGTACGGGTAGTTGTAATTATGGGCATTATTATGTATCTGCCGTTTTGGTCGTGCTGTCTTCGTTAGTGTGAGTAAAACGGGCGATACTTCTTTGGCACTTAAGCGATAAGTTGTAAAGCTCGTCGTCATCGGGTCCGCAGTTTGTTGGGTTTGCTTCCTATCCTTTGTTCAAGCTCTTCCTTTACTCCCTCTCCTCTCCCGGATCCTCTTTCTCTGGATAAACGCCATCAAGGTTACACCCCCCCTGTGCCGGATTACCCCGCAATCATCTAACATACTGTCTATATGTTGCCTGGCGAACTGATTGCGTTCCATCACTTAAACTGGTTTTCAGATTTTATTCGCTCACTGATCTATCGAGGAGATTGTCTGAGTGGCTGGCTAATCAAATGCAAATAGCTTGCAGAACTGTGCCTGTGCAGTACAGATCATTCGGTGGATAGATGGACTTCGGCCCCTGAACGCGCATCCAGCAAGTGAGACAAAATCATCAATCATCACTCGTGCATCTTATTCACTCACCGGAGGGCGGTTATCCGAATGGCTCCAGGAAAGATGTCTTTAGGGATTTATGCGTTGTCCTTCGGGAAATATTTTTGGAAAATCGGCCGCAATTTTTTGGGCAGACATGGATTGGCGGGACGGGAATGGCTCAGCTGAGATTCCCTGACAAGTGCGGTACCCGTCACATACTGTAACCAGCTTAGTGGGGTACATTTGGAGATTGGTACGGCACGTGTGAACGCAGCGATACCAATTGACCCACCGGTGCCTGGAATTGAGAAACTCAAAGGGCTGGTATAGGGCATTTTCCTTACCAGATCTCATCACGATACCTACCTCCTGTCAATCAACCCGGCGATCTCCCTGAGCATCGATCTGAAAACAGCTTGATCAGTCAATTGATATCAACCAAATGCCAGCAAGTTTAATACCACTCTCGAGTCCTTCTGTATTGCTATATGTTTCCAGCAGTGCTGATTTCTGTCAGGTATGAGATCTCGGAGTGGATACGAGATGTAGCGCACTCGGTGTCAGCAGTTCCTGCCCTGTATCCATGTACACGTACTTTCACCTTACTCGCAGCGTGTCTGTTGTGTTACGGCTACGGCTTCCTCGCTCACCCCGCCTTGTGCTCGTGCTACCGGTACTCGGTTTCGCTGGTGCTATGATAAACATGCCACCACGAATCCGTATACTTGCATCTCTGTACTGTGCTTGTAATGCCTCGACTTTTGCAAAACGGACTGCTATTGCATGCGGCGAAGAATCTGCTAGAGCCTTAGAATTTGGGTGGCATGCAATAGCAGTCCATTTTGCAAACCTCACGGCATTACTAAGTATCACATGCGGAGAAGTGGGAGAAGCATTCGCCAAGATCGGCATCACATGACTTCAGCCCTGGTTTGCGTGCTCGGTAGCAGAAAAAAAGAACCCCGTCAAACTCGGGAACGTCCATCATCATCTTAATGGTGGTTATAGTGTCGCAGGGCCCAGTTCCTTCCAGACGATCGCCCGGTCTGGAGTTAACTCCGCTGTGGCCGAGTGAAGTTAGGTATCACTCACTATCAGAGCGAAGAAAGGAAAAAAAGGGAGGGGGGGTTATCCACCTTCTTTGAACAAACAGGGCATCTGTAAATATTGCCGTGGCGTTTGCGAACCTCTCGCGGGGTGGCAGCCTACACATATGCAAAAAAGCTACGGGTAATCATACCGGTGTGCCAGTATATTGCCTTGCTTGTACGATATGCTTCTGCATGTTTGGTGTTCCCCTGTTTATTATACACCACACCCTGGATATAGTGACTCTACTGTACCCCCCCCCCCACATTTGTTTCAATCAAAAACTTCCCCGCACGCTGTGTCAGGGGATGGTATTCGCCGAAATTCACCTTCCACACTAATATTCTCGGGAGATGGTTCACTTCCGGGGCCGTCATAAATTTAATTGATTGCCTGCATTGAAGTTTGGTGAAGATGTGCTCTATGGAAGTTCAGGTTTTAGAGCAGCCAAGCATTAGCCCCCCCACCTGCCACCCCCCCCCCCCCAACTTGCCCCCATACTGTATTCTTATACTAATACACTAATACAGGTACTAGGCCTCACACCTCGGGGAGCCCGTCACGAGTGGGGTCGTTCCGGTGGGGATCATTAGGTTGGGGGGTACTAGTAATTGCGGTTAGGGTTGTCCATGAGCACCGTATGATAATAGAACTTACAAATGGGCGATGCGCTCGATCTTAACATCGATCCCTTACCTAAAGGAAGGTGTTTGATGGCAGCGCATGTTCTCGCCTTCGAACAAAACAAAAGCAAAGAAGCCAATTGTCGGTAAATCCGTCAACCAGGCAGACCCACATACCGGTACTTGAGTTGGATGGCTAGGCAGCTGAAAAAAGGGAAAAAAGGAGAGAAAGGGACGAAAGGTACCATAATACCACCATATACCGGTAATAACAAGATACAAAGAGGTAAGGGGCAGCTCAAACATCACTGGTTCAGACTCTCTTCAAATATCCATATCAAACCCGTCCATTACGAAGAAACCGTGCTCCTCACGAGGCTATCAAGATGCGATCAGCGGCTTCTAGCACCGTGGAAAGATTTAAAAAGATTGCTCGCGCCCTCGGTACCGTAACCGACCAACCGATAGACGCAGCACGGTACATTAGCCCTCCTCGTACCGTACGAAAGGAAAAAGTGGCAACCTGGAAAATGGTGAAAGAAAGGGAAGGAAAGGTACGGAGAGGAACGCAGTAAGCTGACAATGCGATCCCCAGCTCCCACTTCCCCCAGAACCACTTGATTCGTCTGGACCCACCCCGATCGAATCGGATCGATCCGGGGCGTTACAAGTTCGAGTTGGAAAAAAATGGCCCGACAGCCGGAATACTGTAGCTGTGTAGAGGTGTGTGTGCGTGTGGTTACTTTCGATGTCAAGGCTACAAGTAGTTAGACCACAGTAACACGGACAACTTCTAGTGTTTGCAACGAGTCAATGATTTGTGGAGAGGATGTCTGAGGCGAGGGAGGGGGGGAGGGTACAAGTACCGTAAGAGATCGGTGGGGTTTTTCCGATATATTGAGGCTTCGCTTTTGGGGGGAGGGTGGGGGCGGGGCGGGATCGATTTCCCAGGATTTTATTTTTTTATTTACTCGTATGTGCTTCACGAAACTTTGGCGCGGATGGTACGGTACCGTATCGCATCGTATCGTTACCGTATCTCTCTGATTCCTGTGGTGGTGGTGGTTTGGATTCGGATTTCCCTTTGCTGTATGCTAGCTGGTGCCGCTAATCTTGCGTTGTGGTTTAGATCTTGATTGTTTGTTTGTTCTCTTTTTTTTCTTTTCTTCTTTTCATTTTTCGTGTGGTATCATACCTGGTATTGACTCGAGTGCCGTACTGTGCTAGTAGTATGATACAGTAGAGTACAGTACAGCGCGGTAAGTTACGTTCAGCGTTTCTCTTTGTTGTCTGTTGCTCCCGTGCTGCACTGGTATTCGATTGGTTGCCGTTGCAAGGGGTGTTTGTTTGTTTGTTTGTATGATACGATATTATTGGTATGCGCTTTGTATCATACCGATACTAAGTACTCCGGATGGCCCACGCTCAACGCGTATGGGCAAGCGACGTGGGGGGGGGTTTGAAATCTGGCTGGGTATCGTGTATCAAGATTTCACCATGATATTTCGGACTGGACTTGTATGGGAACGGATAGATAGATTATTATTATTATTGATCATTGGCGTTCGATTCGAACTCTTTGGGGGGGTGAAATATTATTTAGATGACTTCAAAAATTGTTTTTGTACAACTGACTGATGTGCCAACCCCCCCCCCGCCTTTTTCCCTTCAAACCAACTGATTCCACAACGAATACCGTGGGTTAAGTTATGCCTTCTAATAAGGACCAGCTCCCATGCATCCCCAGGTCGTCCTCCCCTCCCTTTCCCTTCTTTTTTTCGATGATTTTTTTTTCTTTTCCCATTAAAAAAGAAAGAAAGGAATAAAGGAAGGTGGATAAAAATAAATAAAAAATAAATAAAAAGGAATTCGTAAATTAGGTCTCAAAAAAGGAAAACAAAAACAAAAACAAAGAATAGGTGGTACAAGTCATAAACTATAGGAACAATGCTCATGAGATGGAATGGTAACGCTGATGATGCTAGGTTATGGATGGATGGATGGAGAAGTAGAAAAAAAAAGTGGAAACTAAAAACACAGCTTTTTTTCGTGCAAAACAAAAGAAAAACGTCAAGCGTTGGCCGTGGGTATGATTTCAGCGAGCGGGTGATAGAAAGGAAAACAAAAAGCTAAACAAATGCCCCAAACTCCACTAAAATGAGAACGAAATAGTCGTACGGCTTGTTGTATCCATCGGATCCCCCTTGACTACGCGAACTTCAAGGATGGCGGGATGTAAAAGCTCTCAGTGGTCGAACTCGGCGCAGCATAACTCGCCCTCTTATCCCCGCCGCCCGGGAACAGCCATCCATCGCTGGCCCAGCTATCCCCACTGCTTGAGGACCCCCGATCATCGCGATAGTCATCCCTACTGCTATATCCCGAGTCCTCTCGCCAACTATTCCTCTCGTCTCGGTAGCCAACGTAGCTCCCGGGCCTTCCGCGCCCCGGGTTCGCGCTGATGCGGAATTGCCTGGGGATTGAGGCCCTCGGCCCGCTGGAGTGCATGTGTGCTGGGTGTCCCGTGTCGTGCGGGATCTGGAGTCTGGAGGCGGGGTGCCCCAGATGGCCCATCGATCCGAGACTCCCATTGCTGAGGATCCGTGGCTGATTGTATCCCATCTCGCCACTACGCGCGCCGAAAGAGCGGCGGCCACCACCGGGGGCTACGCTGCTGGAGCGATTGGGAGGGTCGATGCAGCCCATTCGACTAGTTTGGATTAGCGTTGGCGGGGGAGTGTATGATTCCCGGCGGAGCGAGGCGCCCACGCTCTCGTAGCCACTGTCGTAGGGGTGCGGTTCGCACTCTGCTATCCTCACGGATTGGCGTTTGGCTGGACGTCCCGAACCTAGTGTGTAGTGGGAGTGGTGTGGAGAGGAGGTTTGGGCGTAGCGGCCGTAGGATGAGGATGACTTTTCTGACATCGAGACGACTCGGGGTACGCTGCGTTCTTCGTATGGGTACTCTTCCGGTCCGCAAAAGCACATAGTCTTTTGGCTGGGGGGGCTGGAATATATGGGATCGCCTGAGGGGCAGAGATGGCTATTGTTGTGGTGGGGGGGAAAGAAGGGGAGAGGGGTGGCCTTGAGGAGAGTTGACCTTATTGATAAGAGTTTTCGCAATGCTAGCAGATGGCTATTGACCTTGAAGTGGGTCTTATTTGTGGACGGAATTAACCCTGCAGGCTATTCGTCGCTCAGGAGGGGGGTCCCACTGGATCTATATCTTCTATACTCGAGTACTCGAGTAGCTTTAGGAATGGTTTCGAAACGGTTCTTTTTCTTTTTCTTTTTTTTTTTACTCTCTTGGGGATTGTCTGCGATTGGCTCGGAGCTCAGCTGTAGGGATGGCGCCGGGGGGCAGGTTAATATCTGAGAAGGGAGAATACTAGACGCGAACACGAGAAGGACAAACGGCGGACTTACGAATGGGGCCGCATAACCCCCCCCCCCTCAAGAGAGTGCATCGGAAGAAAGCAGTAAAAATAGGGCGATAGAGATGCAGGTTTGGGGCCAAAGTAAGACTGGTAGAACCCCAAAACCATGCGGACCTGCCTGCTGCCCAACCGTTCTTCGCCTTGCTGGATTAATCCGTTTTCATGAGGAGACACGGTACGGCATCAAAGCGTGCCGCAATTCTGTCCGCCCGGGTCGTCCTGGAAACTTGGAAACGAAAAGAAAGGATCACAGGAAAAGACATGTGTGCCTCGGGAAAAATAGGTTCAAGTGTTTCTCCTGGCGCGTGCTGTGCAGGCAAAGGCTTGTGGTCTTTGTTGCCGGATTTGGATAATTGCTTCTGCAATTGACAGTGGGGCACCCTTCGACGGCGTTGATCATGTATGAGGTCGCGCGGACACTTGGATGCAGAGAGCGTGGATCAAAATGATTTCCCTCTTGAGCCTAGGCAACCGACTTCCCCTTATCAAGCGAGACCTCGTAACACAAAGTTTCAACCGGAAGAATTCTCTATCACAAAACATACTCGTAGAGGCCAATAGAAAAGTGACCAAAATTTATAGACAGCGTGGAGTGAGGAAAGAAAAAGTATGAAAAAAAGAGGAATGAAAAAAAGTAAAAAGGTAAAATGCGACATGAGAGAGGGGTGAAAAAGAAAAAAGAAAAAAAGAAGCAGGAAAAAAGAAAAAAATCACCAAGGATTGACCCTAAAATATGGGGTTCTGTGTGGTTGTTGCGCGAAGGCCTGCTCTTTGTCATGCGACATTCCTCAAGATTTGTCTTCCCATTGGCCCTTCGACATGCGAGTCTCGAGCATGGGTGTGACGGCCGCTATGGTTGTTTACATTCCATAGAATCTTGCAGCAATAGGCAAAATCGCTCAAGTGAAAACGCAACAGAATATATTAAAAGAGTATCCTCTCCTCAAATACCGGGCTCTTGTGAGTTTTCCTGCTTCCTGCTCAGTTTCCTATGCAAGGTATAAGAACACCCGAACAGGCCGCTATTGCTGTTTTTTTCCTCCTACATTACTCGAGTATAGTTATGTGGCGGGAGAGGGGAAGAAAGGGTGACGAAATGGTACCAGGCTGAGAAATTCCCCCTGAAAGGGCTGCAAAGAACCCCCCCTTTTTAAGTTATAAAGTTGAACCTTAGCGACATTCGGGAGAAGGCATGTGGTCATGCACCATCGTATGAGGAAACCCGATAGTCCTAGAGATGCGTCTCAGTGTTTTTGAGGTGGTGAGTTGAGGGGGGAGGGGTTCGCCCAAGAAAACTTGATAGATTCTCCTATCTTTTTATCCTCTCAAGACGTGGGAGGGGGGGGGTGATAATCTCCATCGATACGATAGACTGATAGTCAATGAGCCAGGCACAGGCATTGAACCTGAAAGTTTTGGTGCTATGATACCTGTGGAAGTTGAGGCCGTACTGGTAGGAGGAAGTGCTGGAAGGGGCAACTCAAGCTGCTCAGCGCTCGACTATCGGTACTATATGGTGTATGGCACCACTACTCCCCGTGCTGAAATGGGCCATACCGGTATTCGTGCTGGAGGTGTCAAACCCGGGCCGGCAGCCCAATGTCTCCGTTTGTTACTCTTGATGCCTTCTAGACTAGAAGAGAAAAAGGTGAGAACCACCAGTGGTTTGGCAGCGGTTCGGTTGATTTGCTCCTGCAGGCCTGAAAAAAAAATACAGACTCGGGAGCTTGAATGTGATCGTCTGGATGTGGCAATGTGCGAAGACCCCCCGCAGCTCTAGGCAGGGGACACGCCCACAAACACGAAAGACTTCTGCGTACGGCTCGGATATCTAGGGCGTAGCGCTTCGCGGCATTGTATCATATCATACGTCTTCTCGACCACTGTTGCGTGTCGGTGACGGGGGAGCGGCTTTCCGCGTAATTTTCAGGAGGTCAGGTTTAGGGGCTTGCAGGATATCAGAAAACAGTTCATGCGATTGGGCCGTCACTTTTTGGGGAATAGATTACTGGTAGCGGAGACCTTGCATCTCAGAAAATGTTGCTATCATACCAACTACATTATTGGGCGATTTTTGAAGGGCTAGCCCTAGAAAAAAAGAAAAAAAGAAAAAAAAAAAAGAAAATGATTACTTGTAGTGCACGCACGACATAAGAGTGCCAATTATTTGGGAGTCTCACAGCCTCTCACTCGCCCCTTGGCTTGAGTCCAATTTCGTCTCATTGGCTGAGGGAAAGCATTGTTCGGACATGGGTCGTACATCACAAGACAGAAAGAGTAAGAGGCTTGAGGTCACCCGGCGAAACAAGGTGTTTCATTACCATAGTTCCATTGACGGCAGCTAACCATTTCGTAGATGCTCCACATGAGTTAGCCCAATATATCTGGCACTCGGGAAAGTAATTACAATACCGGTATCGGTAGCTGCTCAGCTCTCCTAATTGAAGGATCCCCACCGGAGGGAAGCGGGATCTCGTAGATCGGAACGTAGATCAAGATCGAAATTGCGCGATAATTTCTGGTAAGAGGAAAAAAAGAAAGAAAGAGGGTACTTGTTCCACGGGGAAGAATCGGTAATCGAGAAACAAAGGGTTGGGGAGCACAGCAATTGACGCAGATCATCGGTTTTGCTACAGTAGGCTCCCCTCAGCCGTTCATTGTGCTCGGTACTTAAATACAGCGCTCTTTGTTGGGAGAATGTTGCTGCATAGCTGTGCAGCGCAGCACAGTACAGTGCCCGACCCGAGTATAACTTAGTACAGGTCCCACGTTTTGGACCCCCCGCTGATGCGCCCAACAAGTTGTTTTGCTCATAACAGATAAGATCAACCACCAGCGCCAGCGCTCTCGAGATAGATGAGTGAATTACTATAGTAAGAGATGAATACCGATAGCTTTCGGTATGTTTTGTCCCCGGAAAGCCAAACTTGAGCCGCAATGTTAAACCTCATTTGGGGTAGACCGCTTGGGCTGCCCACAGCTTGTACCTGCGTTATTAGCTGGGAAAATCGCTAAGCTTAGAAGGGGCATTTCCAGAAGTACTCGTATACTGCTGTACTCTAGAGAAAATAATAATAATAATACGAATGCCCTTGGCGGATAACAGCACAATCAGCTGCAAAGATAAAAAGGAGTTCACTCACCCCGAGAAACCCGGTTACACCGCTGCCTTTTACAGGAAAGGGGAAACTTGACCCCTGTCTAGCGCTAGTCGGGTCGAGGGCCTATTGCAAGTCACTCCCGTATCTGAGGTGCCGGCTCGTTGAGTAAACACACCGACATGAGCACAACAGCAGCGATATCGCAGCATATAATTGCTTCTCAACGCTGTTTCTCGCCTCACCCTAGCATAACCACCAATTCTGCATCCACCGAGGCTATCCTTTTCCTGTCTGTCTCAGCCCGCAGGGCGCCTTCGATGCGCTTCTCTGCGAAGCATTTAGGGATATTTCTCTATCGTGGAAGGAGAAGTTCCAAAGTGGGGTCCAACTATGCGAGAGTTGCTAGAACAAGCCCTAGGGTTACTGCCTTGCAAGAAGCTTTTCGAAATCTAAGGATTCACGGCAGAAGGAATGACATGTTGTCTTTTCGTCGCTGTGTGAGCTCAAAATGCACCTTCCATACGACTTCAGTTATGATACCAGAATCATCCGATTCGGCGGAACCGGTAACCTGGGAATTACGGAAAAAGATCACTACCTCAACAGGGCTTTGCTAGCCGGCCCTGCCGCAATCGAAGGGATGCCATCCTGTGGGACAAATTTGGGACCTTACTTCCTGCCGCCACGCCCCACCAAACCCAACGTTAAACCCGGACTGACATGAGCCCGTAAGAAATTCCTGGAAAAAGGAGGTACCGCATGTGTTAGGTTTTCAGGTTCAAAGAAAAGCACTTAAGCCAGGCGTATTGCTGATCCATGTATGCGAGGATGAAGTGTCAAAGGGAGGAAAGATCGAGGTCTGTCCAGGAGAGGTGGATGGAATGTTGGGTGCAGGATATGGCAGAGTGCCTGTGGCTGCCTGGAGGAGGATGCTCTTTAGTGAAGAGCAAACCTTGTGACACTTGACATTACAAAATTATATTGTAGGGTATCACGCCCGATATCGTGGGCAAGGCTGGGAGGAAAGTATTCTATCATAACCTTATGTCGAGACTGCGATACGGAACTATTCAGGAGGGGTGGGAAAAAAAGGGAGGGGTGGTCTTGATAGCGAGATCGGTACCTATATATCATGAGTAGCTGGATCTGATTCTACGTAGGATGGCCTAGAGTTATATAAGTTGCGCCAGCGAGGGCTGTGAATCCAATACCCATACATTATCGGTATGCCATAGCTACGCCTATGTTAACCAACACCCACATTACCTGTGTCCTGTAAGCCTGTGTTTAGCAAACAAAGTCAAAATTCGAAGATCTGAAAGCTTCTTTACCTCGCCTGAGGACTGAACGTTTAATCAGTTTTTACAGGGCTCTGGATGAATGCTGGTAAGGAAGGCTTCGGGAGGCTAATTGCGAAATATAGGTATAGTTTAGGACCCCCTTGGGGGGA